GAGTAAGCGCGCGCGGAGATGAATGATTGGAAAAGCGTCGCAGCCATTCGGACCACAGTCCTATCTGGACATAGGAGCGGTGAGATAAGATACGAACAGCAGCACGTTATCCTTCCCCTTACCGCGCACCGGCAACGGTTCCTAGGTCGATTGGACCGCTGTGGCTCAAGCAGTTGCAACGCCTCTCTAATCTCATCCATCTCAGTACGCGCTCACTCCTCAGATTTCTATTATTAATAAGTCGGTAATTATTACGAATATCGCAAAACAGTTTATGTTTATCTTAATCCCTTTTTACGCTCCTACGAATTCTAGCACTATTATTCTGGGATGTTGTATGGTGTATTCGAATGAACAGGTTTTAATTCACGTGAGATCGATTAACCCAGGTTTTTGGGTCGAATATACAGGGTGTTCCGCAGCAATATATACGTACAAAATTCGTGGAGGCCTAGCACGGCTTGAGATGAGCATAAAAGTCCCATACCGTTTTGCGATAATCGTAATAGTTTTCGAGAAATTAATTAAAAACGTCCAGCAATAGCGTCCGCCGAGATGTGTAAGGTTCGAGCCGCCTGAGTTTCAGGCCGGCCCACTCTACCCATAAGTAGACACCGGCGCGCGGCGAGGGGAGAAACAACAGACCACTGCCCGCGCTTGCGAGGCTTCTCCTCCTACGTCTTGCCGCACCGCTCCGCACCGCACCGAAACTCGCAACGATGTCGCCGAGCCGCGAACGTTCGCGATTACAATTACGATTACTTAATAAGAGAGCAAAAATAGCTCCAATTATTGAAACAGTTATAAGCAATGTGTGATAAAAAAGAATGGAAAGAATAAAAGCGATGGAAACCGATAGAGTGTGCAGACAATTTAGTTATTTTCTGTCGTAATCTATTGTTCGCTATTAGAAGAGTATTCAATCGTTCGTTCGTATCGAAATATGATAGAATTTATGTAGAGACTTTACGCGCCCTATCGTTTTATTGGACTCTATTATGAATAGATCACTGAAAATCTGTCGTAATCAATGGGTGCATAAACGATAGGTGAAACTTGTAGTTCTCTATCGCATACGTACGAAAGGAAACCCGTTGTCAATCGTGTAATAAATTAAAAGTTGTACGCATTACTAAATAACTGAATTTAATTTTTTTTCCTTTCTACTAAACGTTTTGAATTTCTTACATATGCTATCATTTCGTTTGCATAAAGTAGGAGAAAAATAACAAATTTGACAACGATAGGTTTCCTTTCATACGTATGCGATAGAGAACTACAAGTTTCACCTATCGTTTATGCACCCATTGATTACGACAGATTTTCAGTGATCTATTCATAATAGAGTCCAATAAAACGATAGGACGCGTAAAGTCTCAGTATAAATTCTATCATATTTCGATACGAACGAACGATTGAATACTCTTCTAATAGCGAACGATAGATTACGACAGAAAATAATTAAATTGTCTGCACACTCTATCGGTTTCCATCGCTTTTATTCTTTCCATTCTTTTTTATCACACATTGCTTATAACTGTTTCAATAATTGGAGCTATTTTTGCTCTCTTATTAAGTAATCGTAATTGTAATCGCGAACGTTCGCGGCTCGGCGACATCGTTGCGAGTTTCGGTGCGGTGCGGAGCGGTGCGGCAAGACGTAGGAGGAGAAGCCTCGCAAGCGCGGGCAGTGGTCTGTTGTTTCTCCCCTCGCCGCGCGCCGGTGTCTACTTATGGGTAGAGTGGGCCGGCCTGAAACTCAGGCGGCTCGACTCTTACACATCTCGGCGGACGCTATTGCTGGACGTTTTTAATTAATTTCTCGAAAACTATTACGATTATCGCAAAACGGTATGGGACTTTTATGCTCATCTCAAGCCGTGCTAGGCCTCCACGAATTTTGTATATGTTGCTGCGGAACACCCTGTATACGGGTAAGCTTTGTGATTGGCTGGTAGAGTCTTGTGACGTCATTAATCGACTCTATGAGTTAAAACACATTCATTCGAATACGCCATTGTATTAGGAGGTTGAATTAATTCTGGTCTTATTTTATTAATTTTTTATTTTTATTTTAAAGAAATGGTTAAATTTACATCAATGAAAATATTTTCCGTATTATTAGCTATGACATTAGCTATGACTTTTTTCCATTTTTTTGGCAACATAGCGACTCCTATGACGATAGAACGATCTGTTTTTCGAAGCAATCCAATCAGACACCCATTTTTGCATATCCTCGTAATTATTGAAGTGTATATCTGCCAAAGCGTGTTGTATCATTCGGAATAGATTGTAATCAGATGGTGCTAAGTCTGGAGAGTATACTGAGTGCGGAACGATTTCCCCCATTCGAGAACTAACAATGTTTGTTTAACGATTGAAGCAACAGGTGGACGAGCATTATCGTGCAAAAGAATTATTTTGCATCTATTGTTAGCCTGTTTTGCATCAATTCATCGTTCAATCATTGCTATTATCGTTCCCCCGTAACTGTTTCATTCGGTTTTAGAAGCTCATAATATACCACACCTTTTATATCTTACCAAATATAAAGCATTACTTTATAACCGTGAATATTCCGTTTTGGTATCGATGTTGTCCTGCATCAACCCATAACCTTTTTGCTTTGGATTATCAAAATAAATCCTAATTTCATCTCTAATTATAATTCGTCACAAAAAACTTCTTTTTTTTATTTGGCAAGCAAAGACATGGCAATATTCAAACGATTTGCAATGGCACTTTCACTCAATTCATGCGGAACCCATTTGTCTTCTTTTAGAAATTTTTCCATGGCATGCAGGGGTTTAGAAATTGTTGATTTGTTCGACGTTGAGTTGTTCAGCCAATTGTTTTTCCGTTTGAGCAGTATTTTCATTTAATAATGCTTAAAATTCAGAATCTTCAAATTTTTTTGGTTGACTAGTACATCCTTCGCTACTCAAATCGAAATCTACTTTTGAATCGCTGAAACCAAAGTTTACAGTTGGAATACGATGAAGCTCGATCACCTTATGTTGTAACAAGCATTTCATGAGCTTCAGTTGCCGATTTTTTCAAATCAAACAAAAAAAGTGATGAATGTCGAAAATGCAATTTTGTACGATCTATCTTACAAGGAAACGATCGGAATTGTCCCTCACCGATTTTGATGGGTTTTGGATATGTTATAGAGCAACAAAAATGATTAAACACGTATTTTTTTATCTGCGTATTTCAAGGTTTAGGGGGTGTGAAACAACTCCTCGAAAAAAACTAACATTTTCATTTTTTGCGAATATATTCTAGAGTACGAAGTATATGAAGAAATATTTCCTACAAAAGTTTTATAGTACTTTATATTATTTGCAACGGTTCAGATTTTTCAAAAGTATCAAAATTTTCAACCTGCCCCCCTTTATTCCTTTAATTTTGTAAAATTAAAAAATGTTATGAGGACAAAAATTAAAGAATATTTGATGCCGAATCCATCCATATATAATAATGCAATATGGTAGTGATTAATTTTTAGTAAAACGAGATGATATTATCGTGCTATAGGCACCGCGCTGTAGATAGGTGTTATGTTACTTCTTTTCAGTTGCGCTGTACTCAATAACTGTCTCTTATGCATATTTCCTCATACTATAAAATGCAAGAGAAGTAGTCTTAAAGACAATATACAACTTATTACACAAAATGAAAATGTTAGATAGATGAACGTGCATGTACTATATGTTTGATTCAAGAGGATACGCTTAATTATTTGTGAAAAAATTAATTGGTAGAAAAAGATGATATAATAAAAAATTGGAATTTCTATTTAAAAAAATTGATGATCAGTGAGTATCTCGAAAGTAGCGCCATCTGTAAATAAAATGCTATCTTATGTTCCTCTGCAAACCAAATAACTTTTGTTTAAACAATTTTTTGTATCTTTAATTTTTTCACAAATGATTAAGCGTATCTTCTTGAATCAGACATACAGTACATGCATCTATCTAACATCTATCTAACATCTTTATTTTGTGTAATAAGTTATATATTGTCATTAAGATTAATTCTCTTGCATTTTATAGTATGCATAAGGAAATATGCATAAGAGACAGTTATTGAGTACAGCGCAACTGAAAAGAAATAACACACCTATCTACAGCGCGGCGCCTATAGCACGATATTATCTCGTTTTTCTAAAAATTGATCATTACCATATTGTATTATTATACATGGATGGATTCGGTATCAAGTGCTCTTTAATTTTTGTCCTCATAACATTTTTTAATTTTGCAAAATTAAAGAAATAAAGGGGGAGGCAGGTTGAAAATTTTGATATTTTTGATCTGAATATACCGTTGCAAACAGTATAAAGTACTATAAAACTTTTGTAGAAAACATTTTTTCATATATTTCGTACTTTAGAAGATATTCGCAAAAAATGAAAATGTTAGTTTTTTTTTCGAGGGGTTGTTTCACACTCCCTAAACCTTGAGATACGCACATAAAAAAAATATGTGTCTAATAGTTTTTGTTACTCTACAACATATCCAATCCATTAAAATCGTGAGGTGAGGAACAATTCTGACTGTTTCCTTGTTAGACGACTACAAAATTATCAGTAACAATAGCACATATATCATAGAAAAATATCAAATCTTTCAGTGTTACCAAATTTCAACATTCGTACTAACTATTTATATTTGTTACTAAGCCATCTATTGTTAGGAACCAGAATGAATTCAACCTCCTAAAGTCAAGACCATCGGATATATGCCATCTTCTAAACTGCATAATTACTCTAAATTTTATATTCTATTACTAAACAAATAAGAGTAAAAAATTAACGGAGATCAAATAAATATAGTAACAAATATATAAGATTAAAAAAATTTGGTTTCTCCCTCTTTGCTCTTATATACTCTTATATACTTATATACTCTTATATACTTATATACTTTTAGTTTGAATCGACTATATATCTTATATTTATTATATTATAATTTTTTAATGCAATATACAAGATTCATGAACGAGTGTACAACGATTGATACACCATTTTGCTTGTATGACGCTGATCGCAATAAGGATACAAAGTCCTTTAAGGGTCCTGGAGTGCTAGTTTGTTCGATCGACAATATGCCCACGCAATTACCAAAAGAGTCGACAGATTTCTTCGGCAACCTTTTGTATCCGTATGCTTTGGACATTATACAGTCAGATGCTAAAAAACCGCTGGAAGAACACAATTTCAATCCAGCTGTGCACGGTGCTATTATTGCCTCCAATGAAATGTTGACGCCTAATTTTGAGTACATCCAAGAACTGAGACAACTAAATCAACGCAGCAAACATAAAGCTGATAGCGGGGAGCAGCAGAGCAAAACAGTAAAGTATCTCTTCTTATTTTTCGTTATATCAATTTTTTTGGAGAGACTTTATATCTTCTTTACAGGATGTCCCAGCATGTGCCACCGCTCGTAGATAGAACGGATTAAGGCAAACAAAAAAGTTCTATACTGTTTTGTGACATTTGCAATAATTATCGAATTATTAATTATAGAAACTAGATAAATGAGCTTGTGCTAAAATGAACTGTAGTGTGGCTCAGTTATTTGATCAATTGTTGTCGGCGCATGGCAAGAGAAAGGACAACGCTATGAAACAATAAAAGTATTCAATGTTATAAATGATATATTTATGAAAAGAAACGATTGAAAATCAATTTATAGTACTCTTTTATCAATGCATGATTTATAACTACGACACGGCACGATAAGAAACAAAATTATAATTATAGTGAAAAATAACATATTTATGAAAAAAAAACATAAAGAATCTATCATGTATTTATGTTAGATTTTCGTCAATTTACTATTCATAATAAGAATAGGAAATGCAATCATTTTCCTCTGGTTTCTTTCTATTTTTATCAGGGTTGCGACAAGGTATTTTCGATAATATCCGAATACGTATGTTAAGATATAAAGTCTCTGCTGATATTAAAATATATAAATATTTCCTTTGTAGATATCTTTAGCTGCATGAAACAACGATTACAACTTGATATTTTGTTTAAAATGACTCAATTCAGATGTTTTCGAAATTATCTATCATGACAAGAGGAAGAGCTATCATTTCCAAACCATGAGTGGTTAGCTTACAGACTTCTGCTTAACGGAAGCTTATCGTAAATTCATGACTGATTCTTTATATCTTTTTCTTTCGTGAGTATTTTATTAGAGAATTATAGACAGAAATGCGCGAAATATTTAACCATACTAATTATACCATAATACATTATACTTTTTATAATTATATAAAAAAAGATTCACTCTTTGATGACTTCACGATAGATAACTATTGTTATTAACTATTGTTAATATCTTATTTGATATTGTTATAATCTATCTGATTACGATTTTTAATATTTTGTTCACGATACACGGAGAAAAATGTTTAGTTCAATGAAATAATTCGGAGAAATATAAAAAGTACAGAAATTTTGGTTAAAGTTATCAAAACTTATAAATTATCAAGATTTCTAATTAAGTTAAACACAATCCTGGTATTTCCAATCAAAATTTGCAAATCGTCCATATATCATCCATATTTTGTTTAGAAAGTTGATTCATTCAACCGAATAGTTTTCTCCATCAATTTGAACAAAATGATAGAACACGATAGACTCTGGGAATTTTATTGTATTTCAACGATTGAATATTCCCGCAACAGAGAACTATAGAAAACGGTAAAAAACTATATCATTTTTTTCGGATTCGATGAAGCAAAACGATAGATTACGATAGAAAACAAAGAGAATTCTCTGTAAATTGATTTCTATCGCTTTCTCTCTTTCAATCTTTTTCTTCAGCACAGAATTTTTTACGGTTTTAATATGAACTATTTTTACTACCTCGTAAAATAATCTCGTAATTGTAATCACGAATATTTAGATGGCCACATATACGAGGGTGGTCCGATAAGTACTTAGCCTACAAAAGAAAAACGAAAATTTTGAAAAAGTGGCAATTTATTTCTCAACATAGTCTCCTTTTAGCTCGATACACTTGACCCAGCGATGCTCCAACTTCTTTAACCCGTCTGAAAAATACGTTTTCTCGAGGTCTGCAAAGTAGGCCTCAGTGGCGGCGATGACCTCCTCATTCGACTCAAATTTCTGCCCGGCGAGTGACTTTTTCAAGTTTGGAAACAAAAAGAAGTCGCACGGGGCCAAATCTGGAGAATACGGTGGATGGGGCAGCAGTTCGTAGCCCAATTTGACCGTGGCGGAGGTGTGAACCGGTGCGTTGTCATGGTGGAAGAGCACTTTTTTCTTCGCCAAATGGGGCCGTTTTTTCTGCAATTCGGCGTCGAATCGGCCCAATAATTCGGCATAGTACAGCCCTGTGACCGTTTTGCCCTTCTCCAGGTAGTCGATGTAGATCACACCTTGTGAATCCCAGGAAACGGTGGCCATCACCTTTTCGGCCGATAGGACAGTCTTCGCCTTCTTCGGAGCACGTTCGCCGGGTGAAGTCCACTGTTTCGACTGTTCCTTGGTCTCTGGTGTGTACCAGTGGATCCATGTTTCGTCGACGGTCACGAAACGACGCAGAAACTCCTTCGGATTGCGCTTAAACAGCGTCAAACACTGCTCTGAAGTGGTCTCACGGTTGTGCTTGTTGTCCGGAGTGAGCAAACGCGGCACCCATCGCACCGACAGCTTTTTCATGCCCAAAATTTCATGCAGGATATGACCCACGCGGTCTTTTGAGATGCCTACTGTCTCAACTATCTCGCGCACCTTCAATCGGCGGTCTGCCAATACGAGATCGTGGATTTTTGTCATGTTATCCTCCGTAGTAGCCGTTTTCGGGGCACCTGGGCGTGGCTCATCAAAAACTGACGTGCGACCACGTTGAAACTCGTTAAACCAATTTTTGACGGTCGCCATCGAAGGAGAAGAGTCACCGTACACAGCATCCAAGCGCTCTTTGATTTCGCTGCGCGATTTCCCTTCCAAAAACAAGAATCGAATCACCGACCGATATTGCTCTTTTTCCATTTTTCTAAAATCCGCGGACACGCCCGCTTCCACACGCGGTCAAAACAAAACTACGAGTCCGATTCGGCTGAAATTTCGACAGTAGCCGTCTACGAGAATGTACTACACGATAGTAAATTTCTCTTGCGATAGTGGCGCCATCGGGCGGTGAGGCTAAGTACTTATCGGACCGCCCTCGTACATATTGGTACAAGCTTGGATGCGATGTAGCGAGACGTAGGAGCAGCCATATGAGCACAAACAGCGGCACATTATTTTTCCTTTCGCCGCACGACAACACTTGTTCGATCGTAATCCAAGAGCGGCTTGAACGCTCCTTCGCTACTATCTTGATACGCACTCATTTATTCAATTACTATAATTAGTAATTTGATGATTATTGCGAATATCGCAAAACGGTATGGGACTTTTATGTTTGTTTTAATCCGCTATATGTTTCCACGAGTTTCTTGGAGGGAGTTCTAGGACTCTCTATATACAGAATGTTTGATAACTCATACAATCATAGCCAATGGAGGCATACTGCTGATTAAAATAAAGAAAAAAATAAGGGAAGGCTGCAAGCCAATATTGCTAGGTGGATTGGGTCGGACTATAAGTTCGAGTGCTGAATGTGCTATCTATTATTGTCACGATACACGTTAATTCATTCGATTTTTTTCATGTATAACTTGATCATTTTTACGATTTTTACAAAAAGGTATTTCTTTTTTCTTTATTTCAATCAGCTCTATGTCTTCATCATCTGTGACTGCATGAGTTACTAAACACCCTGTATATATTCTGTAAGAAAAGTACTCAGAATTATTTAATAAAACATAAAATACTTCTTTATTCATCAATATTGGTTTTGTCGTCTTCAAGATAGGCCCCATCGGATGCAATATACATGTGCCAACGTTTAACTCAGTCGTCAAAATACTTTTCAAACACTGAGGCTAGTATTGTTTTGAGCTCCTTCTGCGGATTTTCTTTTATGTCTTCAATCGATTGAAAACGCTTACCCTGAAGTGGTAATTTGAGTTTGGAAAACAAGAAAAAGTCACACGGGGCCATGTTTGCAGAATACGCTTGATCGATGACATTTGTTGAGTTTTCGGCCAAAAATTCGTATATAATTCGCGTACAAGTCAGAACAAATCGTGCCGCGAGCGTTTCATGTTTAAAATATGAGTCAAAATATTGTGAACGGACATGTGAACTCAACAGCCATTTCTCTTACACTCAAACGATGATTATCAAGCACTATTTTCTTGATTTTCTCGATGTTTCTTTCAATCGTAGATGTTGAAAGTCAATCAGAACAAGGTAAATCGTTAATCACTTCTCGGCTTTCTTTGAATGTCTTATACTATTTATATGCTTGTGTTTTTGACAAACATGACTCACCAAAGGTTTTTTGTCACCAAAGCATTTTCAATAATTTGGCACAAGAAATTTCGTTGGCAACACAAAATTTAAAACAAATTCTTTGCTTGACAAATTTATCCATTATGAAAATCTCAAAACACTTCTGAATTTGATTAACGTAAACAGTTGCTGTAAACAAACTGTTTGACCGATTGCGTCCAAACTCTGCATGGTAATTAGATACAGCTGCTAAACAAAACAATTTTTTCGATACCTTCATCACGGGATTTTTAAATGACAAATTTTGGGTACTTTTTTACAGAATGTAAAATATAATTACGTAAAATATAATTTGTATATAAAAATTTGAAATTTCTTCTCAAAAGATCTTATAGATTTTTTAAAATGTTTAAAGAATTTCTAAGAGATTGTATCAGAAAGACATGAAAATATTTCTCACCGACGTATCAATAAAATTTAAGTTAAAAACACTTCGAAAGGATTAATAATGTCTAAAGGATTAATATAAACAATTACGTTATTTATACTATGCAATAGTAATTTAAATATATTTTTCAATGATAATTTAAAACATAAAAGTTAATTGCAAGTTTATAATGAATGTATATTAAATTATTTACGTCGTTACAATATGTTAATAGGTCGTCGTTCTCGGTGCGGGATATGTTTCCGCGCCTTTAGTGGAGTATTTGCATAGAGACAAAGATATAAAATTGATGGTGGCATCGCAACTGAAAGACGAAGCAGATGCTTTGGCGAACCGATTTCCAGGTGTTGAACCGGTTTATCTGAACGTGCTAGATCGTCCAGATACGTTGCACGATGTAGTCAAATCAGCAAACGTGGTCGTGTCTCTGCTGCCATATTCACTGCATCACGTCATCGCCAAAACTTGTATTGAAACTCATACTCATTTAGTAACAGCCAGCTACATGAATGATAATGTTAAAGCATTACATCAAGAGTAACTATCGTATATTAAGATTCTTGTTAAAATATAACATATATAATATGCATATGCATTTTTTTATTAATATAGAGCTCAGGAAGCTGGCGTTACCATATTAAACGAAGTCGGTCTAGATCCGGGCATTGATCATCTCTTGGCACTGGAGTGTTTCGACGAAGTGAAACAAGCGGGGGGTAAAATAGAATCATTTATCTCATGGTGCGGCGGTCTACCTGCACCGGAATCTTCTTGCAATCCTTTGAGGTATAAATTCAGTTGGTCCCCACGAGGTGCACTATTGAACACATTGTCACCAGCAAAATATCTTCACGAGGGCCAGGTTAGCTGATTAACAATATTTTATGGCGCAATTAGGCTCAAAATATCGTATTTAAAACCTACAAATTAGAGAAATGTCTAAGAATTCCCTAAGGAATTTCTTAAAAACATCTTGTATTTATCTGTTAGAGATCTTTTTCATATTTATTTTTTGTTTGATGAACATATTTGTGTGTACGTATGGCATTTTTTTCGTTATTTAGGAAGTGAAGATCGCCGGTGGTGGCGATCTCATGTCTGCTGTACAAGAGTTGGACTTCCTTCCTGGCTTCGCTTTAGAAGGTTTTCCAAATCGCGATAGCACTATGTATAGAGAATATTATGGTATACATAACGCAAGTACTGTATTACGAGGTACGCTTAGATTTAAGGGTTTCTCGGATACCATTCTTGGCCTGCAGTTGCTCGGTCTGATCGATCCCGATCCACATCCGAGTCTACATCCCAATGGACCAGATATTACCTGGGTATGTCGCTTTAAATTTTTCTACATATAACACCGTTACCAAATTTATTTTCTACGTTATTTTCCGTTTAATTATACGGAAAAGTGAATCTATCTCGCATAAAGACGTATATTCGATAATTCACTAAAAAAGGACGAATATATGTAGGTTCAAAGGGACGCAATATAATATATTTTAAAGAGAAGAAAATATAATTGTTGCTCAGAAAGTGATCGTCGCTTCTTCTAATATCTTATTCTCTATGTTCGCTTGTCGCTTGTGTTTTTCTTACTGTCGCCGCTTCCCGTACGTAAAGAGTGTCCCAAAATTCACGCAAGAAGTAATTTTGATAGAAAACACAGGTTTATAATTAAAAATTGTAAATTTTTTATTGATTCATAAAGTATACAGTATACAGTATAATATAAGTATAGGTATACAGTAAAGTATAAGTATACAGTATAGGGTTATGTATGGAATAGCATATCGGGTAAACGGCCACAGCGAAGAAAGTTCGTTGAATGGATTATGGAACAACAACAAGTGGATGCTGATTTTTCGAACAAAATCATCTTCAGCGATGAGACTCATTTTCATCTTGATGGCTTGGTTAATCGACAAAATTGTCGCATTTGGGGTTCAGAAAATCCACGAGTGATTGTTGAGAAACAAATATATCTACAATGTGTCACTGTTTGGTGCGGATTTTGGGCTGGAGGTATCATCGGACCATTCTTCTTCGAAAATGCGGCTGGTCAGGCAATAACAACTAATGGTGCTCGCTATCGCGACATGATAATCCAGTTTTTTGTGCCTAAATTGCAAGATATGGATGTGGACATGTGGTTTCAACAAGACGGTGCTACATGCCATACAGCCCGAGAAACAATTCAATTACTGCATGAGTCATTTCTTGGTCGTGTAATTTCCCGTTTTGGTGATCAGATTTGGTCGTCCAGATCATGCGATTTAACGCTTTTGGACTTTTTTCTTCGGGGTTTTTTGAAGTCTAAGGTTTATGCCAACAAGCCCACGACCACCCACGCCTTGAAGGAGGAAATTGAGCGCTGTATCAACGAAATTCAGCCACATTTATGCAAAACGATCATGAAAAATTTCAACAAAAGAGTGCATATGTGCCAGCAAAGCCTTGGAGGCCATTTACCCGATATGCTATTCCATACATAACCTTATACTGTATACTTTATGAATCAATAAAAAAATTACAATTTTTAATTATAAACCTGTGTTTTCTATCAAAATTATTTCTTGCGTGAATTTTGGGACACCCTTTATTAACGCCGTTGGCGCCACGTCTTTGTATCAATGAGAAATATTGTCTTATATCAAGGCACGCTTTCGTTTCGGTACATATTCGCACACGCAAAACTCGCGAAATATTGAGTAAAATAATTTTTTACAAACAAAAAAAGAATTCTCACACAAAAGAATTTTTTTTTTAATTATTTATTGCTTCGATTCTAGCGATTGTTGGTGTGTAATCTACTAGGTCTGGCAAACGATAATATTTTTTACGAGAATCTGAAGCAGAAACTTGCAGAAAGAGTGAACTCCTGGGAGCGAGTAAAAGCTATCGAGGATCTTGGCCTGTTGGAAGAAGACCAGGTTTTGAAGTTGAATACCCCACTCGATACTCTTACGCATTATTTATCCAAGAAACTATATTATGAAAAAAATGAACGTGATCTTGTGATATTGAGGCACGAAGTAGGCATATGCTGGCAGGATAATAAAAGAGAATCAAGAGGAATCAACCTGGTGCTTTATGGAGATGCCATTGGACATTCTGCAATGGCACGAACTGTTGGCTACCCCGCGGCCATTGCAGCTAAAATGATTTTAGATGGTTTGTACTTCCATCTCTATTTCCTATTATAATATAATTATATAATATGCACACCCGCAAAAAAAACAGGCCACTAAATTTGAACATAGTTTTCTAACATCTTTCAATAGTGATAATTTTCTTATCACATTTCTTATCAACAACCAAAAACCTATAAATGAATTATAATAAATGTTGCACAAAATAGCGGATGTTGAAGATAGACTTCGATTAATGGGGAAAAATTTGTTTTTAACTGTTGCGTTGCTCTGGGGAATCGGTTCTCTGATACAAAAATGTATGAAGTTTAAAGCTCATTTATTTCCTAACAAATCCAATTTTAATTATTTTTCTACAACCTTTCTTGATAAAGTTATGCGGTTTTGAAGAAAATGTTATGAATCCGCATATGAATCCTATCGAGTATTTATGGGCAACATGTTAAATTGAAGGGTAAGAAAACATAATATTCAGACGTTAGTAGCACTTTGCAACGCTTTACAAGAAGAATGAAACAATGTATAAGAAGAATGGAATAATGTAAACGAGAAGGAATCAGAAGATTGATTTACAGTATGACAAACAGTATGAATAGAAGAATTGTTAAACGACGAGAGGAGGTAATACGCATTATTAAATTTAAACACACACAGGATTAGATTCTTACCATGTCCACGCCGTTGATCCTGGATAATGTTAAGAGCAGGACACACATACACGCGCGCGCGCTCACATGCATACACGCACACACGCACACAGGCGCACGTACGCACGCACGCGCACATGTACACGTACACGCACACGTCCACGCCCACGCTTACGCCCACGCACACGCATACGCACACACACATACACACACACATGCATATGTACACGCACGCATTTACACGAAATTTAAATCCGATCATTTACCACCACATAGAACATTTTGATCGAGTTACATGTTAGTTTCCTTTTTGAAAAAGCTTTCCACAATTTTTATTCTAAATCGCAGGCTTTATGAGAAAAGGTTATCCATTTTGTAACATTTTCTTCAAAACTACATAAATTTATCGAAAAAGGTCGTAGAAAAATGATTAAAATACGGATTTGTTAAGAAATAAATGAACTTTAAACCTCATACATTTTTGTACTAAAGAATCGATTCCCCTGAGCAGCGCAACAGTTAAAAAATTCTTTTTTCTCTTTAACATCTGCTATTGTGTAAAACATTCATTATAATTCACTTTTAGATTGTTGATTGTTAACAAGACATGTCCAAGCTTTAATTTAAGCTTGGTTTCATCTCAATTTGATGATTTTTGGCTAAGTTATCGCTATTGAAAGATATACAGAAGCTGTGCTAAAATTTAGTGGCCCGGTTTTTTTGCGGGTGAGTATATATTATATAATAATAATATTAGGTGTACAACTTTGCTTCCACCGTTTTTTTTCCGAAATTCGAGGCTTTATTGTAAAAAACTGGTTATACATTTATAATTCAAAGTATTGTCCATCGCTGGCCACTACTTTCTCCTATCTTTCGGGCAGCGTACGAATCCCGCGTTGAAAAAACTGGTCATCTTTCGAAGCGATCCACGAATCGATCCACTCTCTTACTTCTTCATAAGACCGGAAGTGCTGGTCAACCAGGCCGTGTGCCATTGATCGAAACAAGTGATAGTCAGAGGAAGCAACGTATGGAGAATACGGCGGGTGGGGTAGAACTTCCCATTTCAACGTTTCCAAATATGTCTTGATCACTTTCGCAACATGGGGTCGAGCGTTGTCATGCTATAAAATCACTTTATCGTGTCTCTCGTTGTATTGCGGCTGTTTGCCTTTTAATGCTCGGCTCAAACGTATTAATTGCGTTCGATAACGATCGCCTGTGATTGTTTCAGTCGGTTTTAACAGCTCATAATACACTACGCCGAGCTGGTCCCACCAAATACAGAGTATGACCTTGGAGCCATAAATATTCGGTTTGGCCGTCAACGTGGAAGCATGGCCGGGATATGCCCATGATTTTCTGCGCTTGGGGTTATCGTAATGAACCCATTTTTCGTCCCCAGTCACAATGCGATGCAGAAATCCCTTCCGTCTTTGCCTTTCAAGCAACTGTTCACAAGCAAACAAACGCCATTCAACATCTCTCGGTTTCAACTCGTATGGCACCCAATTTCCTTACTTCTGAATCATTCCCATGTCTTTGAGGCGTTTGGAAATTGCTTGTTGAGTCACTCCCAATGATTGTGCCAATTCTTCTTGACTTTGACACGAGTCTTCATTAAGTAATGCCTCCAATTCTGCATCTTCGAAAACCTTTTCTCTTCCACCGCTATGCCGGTCTTCGACGTGAAAATCACCGTTCTTGAAGCGTTGAAACCACTCACGACACGTTCTTTCACTAATAGCGGCCTCACCATAAGTATTTGAGAGCATTCGATGAGCCTCAGCCGCAGATTTCTTCATACTGAAGCAGAAAATTAAAACCTCCCGCAAATGGCGAGAATTTGGCTCGTAAACTGACATTTTCAATCGAGAATAACTTTATGATGCAGACACAAATCGACTAATGTTTCTATGGGGTTATGTTGACAGATGCCCAAGTTTATTGCATGACGCCTATGATCTATTTAATTCGACTACTACTTACCGCTAAAATCATCTATAGAAAAACGGCGGAAGCAAAGTTGTACACCTAATAGTATTGTTGCGCTCACTTTCGCACTCGCACTTGTACTCAGGTAAATGAAAACACTCGCGTAAAAATAACAAGCTTTACTATTTACAACGCAGCTCACTCAAGCTTTAAATAAGAATAATTTTCTGATCTACAATTCTTGCGTCTGTCTACGATGACAGCTTGCCGGAGACTCTCTGTCAGCTGTTGTTGTTTTCTTCTTATCGATTTTCCGTCGTCCAGACAATCTTCGTTCAGTTGTCAAAATCAGATGCCTAAGACTCACGGACAACGAACGCCACTACAAACCTTGTGGCTCGGACACAACAGTATAATAATATAATTAATTTTATTCCTTAAGATGATTTTATAAACAACAATAGATAAACTCTTCGAAAGTAAGTTCGAAAGTAAGTTATAGCAATGATAAAAAGAAAAGAAAAAGGCTACCTTGGTTTGTGATTCGTACAGTAATTTTGTCTGTAATATTTTACATATCGATCGAGAACGTTCATCTCATTTTATTCTATCATTCTATCGTTTTTCATCTATTCATCTTATTTATTTCATTTTGTTTAGGCGAAGTTCAACAGCGAGGAATGGTGTTACCTTTCACGCCCGATATATATCGACCTATTCTTAGTCGACTGAGAGCCGAAGGTGTAGAGTCCTTTGAGACGTCCAAATGGTTGTGACACATCCATCACACATTACCATAATGATCGTCTGTATATAACATATTTTTTATATTTTAGGGATCGAAGATCAATGTTATACGTTAATGTTATATATAAATAAAAAAAAATATGTCTCTAGAATCATAAGTCTGTAGACTGATAGTTGCGAAATATTAAACATTCCGTTTTAAGTAAATTCTGTTCATAATTTCCTTACATTGAACTATAGTAATATAATACTGATTTCGTTAGTGTTATGACAGAAGGAACAATGAGAAGAATCTAAAGGATTTAGTCGTGAGTAAGAAAAGATGTCGTCACAACTTTAGGAAATTTTTTAACTTTAATTTCTTTATCATAACGTTTGGCTGCAATTGTCATTCGTATTGGTAATAAGAGAACAACGCAACATACGAAAAAATTTCACTTTTCGTTTCATTCCTCTACGTATATTTGTTTACAAGTTACTATTCTGAAATAATTTACCAATCAGAGCAAAACAATTCGCCGGTCAGATTGCGGCTTATAATTTAGATTCGAATCTAAATTATAAGCAATCATAACCTCATAACCGTAACCAAGCTTACAACCCATAATGTAATATGAACTTCAGAGGCAGTCGCTTCTTAATCATTTTTTATAAGCCCGTGTTTACAAAGCGCATCCCACAGAATAACGCATTCTGGTTCATCAATCTTTTTTTATTTAATATCTCGAAACACAAAAGTCTCATACCGTTTTATGAAATTCGTAATAATTTTCGAGAAATTAATATTAAAAGATCAAAGGAAAGCAAAGTGGTGGAAGAGGAGCGTTTGCGAGTTGTTGCACAGTCCAGTTTATTTAGCAACTGTCTCGGTTGCATTGCGAGGGGAAAGACAACGTGCTGCTGTTCGATCTCAAATTGGCGCTCTTACGTCTTATTAGATAACGCCTAGACTCGCATCGATGGCCGGTACATAGTTGCGATTACAATTACGAGATCATTTTATAAGACGGCAAAAATAGCTTATAAGCTGAAACATAAGTGTCTGTAATAAAAAAAAAATAATGGAAAATAGGAAGCGACAGAAACCGAAAGGAGAATACGTTTTTGAAGCTGGCAGGACCAAATTGGCAGAATCGAAACGCACTTATCAAATTTTTTAGTACTTATTTTGTGCTAATTTGTGCTATTAATAAAAATTTTGTACCTCGTGCCATTTTGAAAAAAATCGTGGCACTGCTACCTTCATATGAAGTCAGCAGGACCACAGTAAAATTAAAAAATAATTAAAAAATAATTAAAAAATAAAAACACTTACATAAATAGAAAGAGCATAATTTATGCTAATTTATTCCATAAAAGAAAATTTGATATTTTGAAAAAAAATAGCACTTTACTCTTGAGCGTAAACTGGGTCTGTGATGGTTTCTGCAGAAATGCCGCGGGTACAAAATCTGCAATTACATAACTTAGTAGCACAAAATAAGCGGTATTTATTGCAAAACTCGCGACTTGATTCTGCTCATTATAAGTGGCACTTTACTCTTGACCGTAAGCTGGGTCTGTGATGGTTTCTGAAGAAATGCCGCGGTTACAAAATCTGCAATTACATATTTTAGTAGCACAAAATAAGCGACATTTATTACAAAAGTCGCGACTCGATTCTGCTCATTACAAGTGGCACTTTACTCTTGAGTGTAAGCTGGGTCTGTGATGGTGTCTGAAGAAATGCCGTGGGTACAAAATCTGCAATTACATATTTTAGTAGCACAAAATAAGTGGTATCTATTTAATACAAATGTCGCGACTCGCTTCTGTTCATTATAAGTGGTGGTTCATGTTCAAGAGTAAAGTAACACTTGTGATGAGCAGAATCGAGTCGCGACTTTTGTAATAGATATCGCTTATTTTGTGTTACTAAAATACACTCAAACGCAAAAAACCCGGTACACTAAAAATTTGGGAAAAAATTACAAAATTTCAAATGATCATAACTTGGTAAATAATGAAGTAATAATGAAGATACAAATATGCGCAGAAATGCAAAATGAAGCTTGAAACGTCCTCTTTAAGAATATCTGAATGGCAATTATGCTCGGCCATTTTTTTCAAAATGGTAGATGATAAAGTGAGAGGATGCAAAATTGATAATCAAAGGTCCGTGTTTGCATGGTGTGCATCAGGTATCGCAGTGTAATGGGACCAAATGCACATGAAAGTATAGAGTGTTATCTTTAAAATGCTACTTTACCGAGCTCGATGTGATCATTTTTCACTGAGTTGTTCCAAATTTTGCCAAAAGTGCGGTTTTCTTGTTAAATTTGCATAATTCAGTGAATAAGTATCGCATCAAGCTCTATAACGAAGTATTTTAAAGAAAACATTCTATATTTTTAGGTACTTTTCGTCCCATTGAGCTTCGACACTTACTTTGCTCCATGCGCCGTCGCACGCTCGAACCTTTTTTTAGCAACTTTTCATGTTCTCCTTTTTATCACCCGCCATTTTGAAAAAATATCGTTGCGCACAATTTCGATAGATCTTTCGAAAAGTACGGTTTCAAAGCTTTCAAACCGTTTTTGAAATTTGCAGCTAGGATATTTAGGTGTCGAGATATTCAATTTCGAATTTGCAACAAATGTCGATTCAGCGAGGCTTAAGGGGCTAAGAGGCTCTGCGGTTCGTTTGGCTCTTTCATAATTTCAATAGCTGTGTTCATGTTTCTCTATATAATAATTTACATAATCTGCACAATATATTCAATTTTATATATTCATTGCATTTATTATTTTGAAAGCCAGGGAAATGAAAGTAAAATTCAATTTAGGTTCTTCATTTTGCGTAATCGATATTACGTAATAAAGATGAATTGCGTTTTAAGATACCGCTATCATTAGCTCAAATTATGGTTGTAAGTCTTCCCAATATAAACCGCATGGAGTTTTACTGGTAGGAAAAGTCCCATTGTATGTTGTGTGTGTGTGTGTGTGTGTGTGTGTGTGTGTGTGTGTGTGTTTGTATACCACAAGAATAAGGACCCCGTGGTTCGTCAGCTCCACAGTATTTCAAGATTTCACACCCTCCTTGTGGTGTGTGTGTGTATGTGTGTGTGTGTATGTGTGTGTGTGTGGTGTTACAGCAGAGATAAGGACCCCGCAGTTCGTCACTCCTGCAGTAATTAATGACTCCAAACCCTCTCTGCTGTGTGTGTGGTGTGTGTGTACTAATAGTGGGTATGACTGCCTCGCGCGCGTATTACCTCATTCATACGATCAGGCATACTCCTTATTAGTCTTTTAATTTCATCCTGCGTAATTGTATTCCATTCGTTTTCGAGAATTATTCGCAGTTCTCGCAGTGACTGAGGAGCAGGTACGTGATTTCGTACTTTCCTGCCGAGGTTGTCCCATAAGTGTTCGATTGGATTTAAATCTGGACTATTTGCTGGCCAATCGAGTCGATTTATGCCAACTTCATCGAAGAAATCAAGCACTCTTCTCGCAGTGTGTGGTCGAGCATTGTCTTGCATAAACAAGAAGTTCTCTCCGATGAAGGGTGCGTACGGAACAACATACGGAATGAGTATGTCTTCCACGTATACATCTGCGTTCATATTCTTGTCAAAAAAGTGCAGATCTGTATGAGCATTAGCTGAAATTCCTGCCCATATCATTACAGAGCCTCCATTGTTGCTATGCCTCTCACTTACCGTACAGTCTGCAAATCGTTCTCCACCGCGACGATAAACTCGTTCTCGTCCATCTGGAGAATAGACACAAAAACGAGATTCATCGCTAAAGAGTACTTTGCTCTAGTCTGCGTAAGTCCAGTCTCTATGCTCAACTGCAAAATTGAGTCAAGCTACGCGATGGTGACATTTAAGCAAAGGTACAGCTGCTGGCCTGCACGAAAGCAGATTTTGTTCCTTTCTTGTTCCTAATCTTCTCTGAACGGTGTTAACGGATACATTAATGTTGCGGACATCCCTTAAATTGTTTCTAATTTGAACAGATGTTCGATGTCTGTCTCTTAACGAATTTGAAACAATAAATCGGTCATCATTGTGATTGGTACATCGAGGACGTCCCGAACCAGGCCTTCTATGGAAAGAATTGGTTTGTAAGTACCTGGCATAAGCACGTTGCACAGTTGACACTGACAAATCAAGTGCCTGAGCAACGTACCTTCGACTTCTGCCATCTTCAATTAAAGCAATAACTTGAGCAGCCTTTTCAGGATTTATCGTCGCCATAATCGACGCAATAATTTCGATGCGAAACAATCAATTATGGTTTAAATTGATGAAGTTGCACGAAGCAACGCGCCTCGAAAGGAAAAGATCACGGAAAAAGAAAAGTCGCACGAGGCAGCGCTTATCGGAGTGAACACGATCGGAAAAGGAAAATTGTTTGTCTTTGTTTATTGTCTTGGCATATACATTTAAGAAAAATCCAGTCAAGCCAGGCGTTAAAGCCCGGCGCACCGACAGAATCTCAGTCAAGCCAGAACCGTAAATGTCCAGCGTACAAGAGATAGTGCCACTATCGGCGGTGGACCGTACGAAGGCCAAAAGCTGTACGAAGGCAATCTCTGATCGTCTCCGCGGGCACTCTTATATGCCCTGGGCAGCTCGAACTCGCGTGCGAGCCGAGGGGCTCGCGCGCGCGACAACCCAGATCGCCGCGTCGCGGCAGCTCCGTGGACTAGGAGCGCCAGGGAATTTCGACGTTCAGGTGGCGTCCAGCGACTCGGCATCTCGCGCGCCGGGTCACCGCGAACTCAGGCGCGATCTTGAACAGCATATTCAAGCTGTGTACCATAATGGCCAATCGTACAGAGAAGGTAGAGAGCTAGGGACAGCTTCGCGAACTAAAGTGTATACCACAGTGATCATGCGTAACTAAAGAGTAAAGAATGATAACTTTTGATAAAAATTAAATTTCCAATTCGCAAAATTGTGTAAATTATTGTATAGAGAATAATGAACGCGGCTATTGAAATTATGAAAGAGCCAAACGAACTGCAGAGCCTCTTAGCCCCTTAAGCCTCGCTGAATCGACATTTGTTGCAAATTCGAAATTGAATATCTCGACACCTAAATATCCTAGCTGCAAATTTCAAAAACGGTTTGAAAGCTTTGAAACCGTACTTTTCGAAAGATCTATCGAAATTGTGCGCAACGATATTTTTTCA